CCTCTCCCCCCCCCCAAAACGGCTGGCCACCCCTGGGTCTCCTCTACCATCAGGTCAGGGCAGTGCCTGAAGCCCAAGGGGTTCCCCGGCCTGGGCCTGGGGGTGTTTTGGGGTCTGCAGGATCTGGTTTTGCAGTTTTGGGGGGCCCTGCCACAACCCCCAGCTCTGGCAGGAGAAGGGTGCCTTGGGGTGGGGGGTGACCCATGCCCACCCATCCTGGGGCAGGCCAGGACCTTCTCCGGGTGTTGGGGGGATGACAGCCGAATCCCTCGTGCCCATCGCTCCTGCCAGTCTGTGGGTTCGGGGTGTCCCACGGCCCCGATGCGTGTCCCTCAGTGCCAACACGTGGGGTGGCACTGGTGGGGTCCCTGACACCTCTCTCTCTGGGGATGGGGGCCAGTCCAAGGGTCGCGGCCGGGGAAGAACGTGCAGCTGACGGAGAACGAGATCCGAGGGCTGTGCCTCAAGTCCCGGGAGATCTTCCTCAGCCAGCCCATCCTGCTGGAGCTGGAGGCACCCCTCAAGATCTGCGGTGAGGGCTCAGTGGGTGCCGCACCTGCTGGGCACCCCGGGCACAGGCTGGGCGAGCCCCCAGGGGCCAGTTGGTGGTCCCAGCGCGGCCGTGTGCTTCCCCAGAGATGTGGATGGGCAGCACTGGGGCCCGCTGTGGGGTGGTGTGGGGAGCTGGGGTCCCACGCGCATCCCGTGTCCCCCTCCCAGGTGACATCCACGGGCAGTACTACGACCTGCTACGGCTCTTTGAGTACGGGGGCTTCCCGCCTGAGAGCAACTACCTCTTCCTGGGCGACTACGTAGACCGGGGCAAGCAGTCGTTGGAGACCATCTGCCTGCTGCTCGCCTACAAGATCAAGTATCCCGAGAACTTCTTCCTGCTGCGCGGCAACCACGAGTGCGCCAGCATCAACCGCATCTATGGCTTCTACGATGAGTGTGAGTGCTCGGGCTGCGACCGCATCCCCCCACAACCCCTCTGCCGTCCCTGTGCTGTCCTGCACTGACCCCATCTACAGCTGCTGTGACCAGGGGGAGTCCTCCTGCCACCCCCATGTCCCCCTGCCACCCCTGTGCCACCCACGTACCCACAATCAACCTGTACCACCCCAGTGCTCCCAGCAGCATCCACATTGAGTGTCCCATGCCTGCCCTGTACCCCTTCTGGCAGCCACCTCTATGAGCGTGTGCCCCGAGGACACCCCCTGCGTGATGCGCTGCCCACCCCATGGCATTGCCCCCGTGCAGCCAGAGCTCTCCCAGGGCTGGTGGGCCTCTGCGCAGCTGCATGTGCTTCACGTGGGGGGCACAAGCCCACGCTGGGGCTTGCGGGGAGCCCCACACGTCCCTGTACCCCCAAAGGGGCAGCCCTAGGCACCCACATTCGCTACCTTGCAGGCAAACGGCGGTACAACATCAAGCTCTGGAAGACGTTCACCGACTGCTTCAACTGTTTGCCCATCGCCGCTATCGTGGATGAGAAGATCTTCTGCTGCCACGGAGGTGGGCATGGTCTTGCCCGTGGCTTTGGGGAAGAAGCCACCAGGGGCTGGAGGAGGGGATGGAAGCTCTGTGCCGATTCTTTGGGGGTGCCCTGAGGGGACGGGGGCTGTTGCCAAAGAGGCAGGGCCTGATGTGGCCCCTTCTTCCCCACAGGGCTGTCTCCCGACCTGCAGTCGATGGAGCAGATCCGGCGGATCATGCGCCCCACGGACGTGCCGGATCAGGGCCTGCTCTGTGACCTGCTCTGGTCCGACCCCGACAAGGATGTGCAAGGCTGGGGCGAGAATGACCGCGGCGTCTCCTTCACCTTTGGGGCGGAGGTGGTGGCGAAGTTCCTGCACAAGCATGACCTGGACCTCATCTGCCGGGCGCACCAGGTACTGCCGGGCTCCCCACTGCTGGGGGCAAGCGGGTGCACCCCTTGGGGGGGACGCATATGGGTCCCCAGTGGATATTGGGTATGGGCCAGGCTTTTCTACCCCTAGTATTTGCCCCTCAAGGGCAGTATTCGCTTTTGGGGCTGAGTCTGTGCAGGTGGGGTTCCCAGTGAGGTATTTGCCCTGAGAGGGGAGTGTTTGACCTTGGGGGTGTTGCGGAGCTTGTTGGGACTGTGTGGGCAGGGCTCCTGGGGGTATTTGCCCCAGGGGTGGGTATATGCCCCAGGGGTGGGTATTTGCCCCAGGGGTGGGTATATGCCCCGGGGGTTCCTGGCTCAGCACCGGCTCCGACACCCGCACAGGTTGTGGAGGACGGCTACGAGTTCTTCGCCAAGCGCCAGCTTGTCACCCTATTCTCGGCGCCGAACTACTGCGGGGAGTTCGACAATGCGGGCGCCATGATGAGCGTGGACGAAACGCTTATGTGTTCATTTCAGGTGGGCTGGGGACACTGCCAGCCGGGTTCGGAGGCTGCGGGAGGGCTCCAGTTCCTGCAAGGAGCAGGGGGGCTGGTACATGCAGGGCTGGGGGGCAGGAGGGAGAGTGGAGGGGGGGCCCCGGTGCCCATGGAGGTGGGGGGAGCCTCTGCCCTCAAGGTGGGAGGGGAGCTGAGGCCGGGGGGGGGACGGCGGG